GGGGGTGAAGTGTGTGTGTGTGTGTGTGTGTGTGTGGAGTCCTCTATATCTCAGGTGCAATTAGGGATTCATGTGTCACAAACTTGCTTTTTCCTGCACAGGTATCCCTAATCTGGCGTTTACATGTAGCAACTGTTACCCATTCAAGTTAATGATCAGGTGGCAGCCACTGCATGTCCATGCCTGCATACCGCATGTAATCCGCATGTATGTGATAAAATTACATGCAGTTACTAAAACAATCACTATACCTGGATACATAGATTCCTAACTGCATGTAATCCTTTCACATATGATTACATGCGGTGTGCAGGCGTTTACATGCAGCAGCTGTCACCTGATCATTAATTTGAATCGGTGACTGCCGCTTGTAACATGTGCATACATTAAAACCGATACCGTATATAGTAGCGGCCCCCACGGGACTAAAATAATTTGTCCAATGGCCCCGACTAAATGGAGTTTGAGACCCCTGACATAGGGGTTTCTTAGCCCCCCATGTGATAGCGATAAAGTTAAGTGTAAAAAAATAAGTTTAAAAAAAATGGAAGCATTTAAAAAGAAATGGTCACAAATAAAAAAAAAAGTAAAATAACACAAATTCCCTGGGCCCCCCACATACACACGCAAACATGCGTCGACTGCGCCAACGTGCAAAAACAACTATTCCGCCTATTGTGCCGCACATGTTGCATATTGCCACGAACGTCGGAGTGACCATTAATCACTAACAAAACTAAACTGATGAGCGGTAAAAGCTTTTAAAGTGTCGCCTATGGCCAATTTTGGGTGCTGTCGTTTTCTGCCATTTCGCCGGCGTAATTTTAAGGCTTGACATGTTTGGTGTCTTATTTACCTGACATGACCCTGTCTTTTATATTTTACCAAAAATTTGGGGTGATAATACATGTTTCCTAACATTTTCATAGGGGAACAGGTTTTTAAAAAAAATGTAGGTTACTTTTTTTGTTAGTAAAAAATTAAAATCCCAGCGGTGATTAAATACCACCAAAAAAAAAATCTGTCCCAAAAAAATGGTATACAATTTGTTTTCGTACAGCGTTGCATGACGGAATAATTGTCAAAGTACTGCAGCGCTGAATACTGAAAAATGGTCTTGCCAGGAAGGGGGTTTAACACCCTGGTCTTCAAGTGGTTAAAGAACACTACTAGACATAGACCATCCCTTTTTCCAGTCACTTTTTAAAATATATTAAATTAAAGTTTTTATTTGCATTATAATAGATGAGATGTAAACATATTGCTTGCCGTGCTAATGTGTTTTTTTTTTTTTTTTTCCCTGCTTTAAGAACAAGTATTACATTACATTATCATTCCCTCAGTTACTTTGACTGCTGCTTTTTGTATTTAATTTTTTTTTTTTTTTTTTTAGAGATTTTACCCCTGGCACTAAATTTTTTTAAGTGG